GTAGCAGGTCGTTAACTTCTTCCTCTCTTGTGAATAGAGTGTTTCCTAAGGAGTTTATCACAGAGGAGCTGGAAAGTCATCTTCCCTCCATTTACTTTCTTTGAGCAAGGTGGCTTTCATCCTAACCAAAGAAAGGAGTACATAGTTGTATACTCAAACCTGAAGAGCTCAGTTTATTAGTAGCATTCTGTCTGGGGTACTTTTTTCTTTAAAAAAAAAAAAAAAAAAGTTGTTGCTAAATAGAAATCAAATAACGGGAGGAATATATTCACGTCCACTCCAATGATATAAAAAATATATCATATATTAGAGCCTCACCTCCAATGATACAATTATATAAAAGTAGAGCTGTACATAATAAATTTCCTGTTATTTCAAGACACCAACTGCTTGAAATAATAATAGAATAACTGAAGTTATTTTTGAAGGTTACATATTTTGAGAATGTTATCGGCTACAGATTGCACTCAGATACCCTTTTGACAGCATATATATAATTTTCTACTTGAATGAAAAAGCTGGAATTTTCTAGAATGCAGATGGTGCACTTACTGTTAAAGAAATGAATATATATCAGTTTCTAGTCATATTCAGATTGCAAACTGCCTAATCAAGATACACAGCTATAAAAGAATAAGAGTTTTTATTGATATTATTTGACTGACTTGCTTTTTTTCCTCTTTAGTGGAAAACAAAGTAAAATATTGGAACTCTGGAATTCTGCACTGGAACTCTGTAGCAGGCATTCACGTCATGATTTGCATTTAAGTTTTGAATTATGTTTTTGCATCTTTGCCTTGTACTTTTCTTGTCATAGGAAGAAATTATGCCCATAGTACTTAAAGGAGAGTCCATCACAAGGAAAACCTAGCAAAAAAAAGGGCGATTCTATTTTAAACTGAATATATTCTGGTAGCCTGAGTAAATATTCAAATGCATGATTTAAAGGAAGGTAGATTTTAAGAAGGCTAGTTTTTTTTAGCCTACAGTCCCAGAAGACTCTGAATTCATTAATTTTTTAAATTTCACAGGATCATATCAGTATAATGTCCCAGAGTCTTTGCCAGTGGCTTCTGTGGTGGCCAGAATAAAAGCTGCAGATGCAGATGTGGGACCTAATGCTGAAATGGAGTACAAGATTGTGGATGGTGATGGTTTGGGAGTATTCAAAATTTCGGTTGACAAAGACACCCAGGAGGGAATCATAACAATTCAGAAGGTAAGTCTGATTTTTCTCACTGATTCTGTTTGGATCTATAGAAGGTGAGGGCAGGTAATGAGAGTATGAGGTTTTGTTTCTAAGAGCCTTATCTGCTGTAAAATTTCCATTGGCATATTTCATCTTCAGTGTGCGTGTGTGTGATTTTGAGCTTTTTAATGGCTTACACTGAAAAATCTTGTGGGTTTTTTTGGCAATAGCTCTATTGTTCTGATGAGTGTTTTTTTCTTTTTTAAGGCTCCTGCACATACAGGTTTAGATGAGAATCTCAGCTTTAGTCTCATTTGTCCTTGTATTAAAAAGAAAATACGAAAATATATCTTACAGTAAAAATGCAAGCTCCAAATACAAAATGGATCCCAAACGTAATTTAAAAAAAAAAAATCTAATTGTCTTTGGCTGATGTTCTATTCAGGAGGCACACATTACTAACGTTAAAAATATGCATCAGTAAGAATTACAAGATAATATATTATAAAAAATATTATTTTAAAAAATTGCAGATATTTAAAGAAATATTTTTTTCTTCTTGGCTTTCTATATGTACAGTTAGAAAACTATCATTTTAAAATTAAAAAAATCATGTTTATATAAAAATGGTAAAAGTCAGCATTCTTACCTTGCTGCAACACATTTTAAAGTGTATCCTTTTACAAAATAAATGTGTGCTGAAATATTTTACAAGAAAATTTAAATTTTGAGGAGAACAGGAAAAAAAAAACCAACACCTTAGACAGAAGAATCTCTTCTCATATAATTTCATACTCTTAATGTGTGAATGCTTGGCAATGACAATACTGAATCTATGGCCCTAACACTGCTAAGCAATTTAATACCCCCTAAAATGTGGGACTGACTTGGCATTTTAGAATATGTACATGTATGTTCCAGAACAAGGACCTATGGTTGTAGTTAATATGATTCCATAGCAGATTTTTCTTCCCTAAATACTCTTTAATCTCTGTAATCTTCACCTACCAGTTGTGGGTTTTTTTGGGTTTTTTGGTCTGTTCCCTTCCCCCCCCCCCCCCCCCCCTCCCCCACCTCCTGCCATTACTTGTCTCCTGTAATGTCCACTCTTCTTAAGCAACATAAAACTTCAGTAACATTTCTCCTTTGAAAGAAGTTAATACTGCATGATGTTGCAAAAAAAATGGGTTAATTCTCTAATGCCCTGAACACCTGCTGAGACTGGTATGCATCCATTGATGGATTTGCACAGCAAATGGAGGATGTTCAGCACCCTTGAAAGATCAGGCTCTAATATGTGTAATGTGAATCATCTTTTTTCAAGGCAAAAACATCCATCTTAGGCTTCTTGCAAACTGTGCTAATTTCTGCTTAGCACGTTTGAAATACAAGTGATGAAAAGTTAGTCATCTCTTTGTTCAACAGCCAAACTCAATGTGGCTCCTTCAGTTTGCTTGTTTAAGGTTTTTGAGCAAAGATCTGGAAGAAATATGCCTATCCTAAAGGGAGAGCATTTATCAGTGCCACAGTGAGTAACACTGAATCAGTTGGGGGCTTCAGCAGTCTAATTTGAGAACTGATGAGTTCATTTTAATTTTTATTATGATCTTGTAGTCATGGTGTTTGTTCCTGGAATCTCCTGATTCCAGTGTTGTACAGTGGGTTATTTCTATAACCACTTTAGCCAGGGACCTGAACTGGACTTTTCAGTAGTGAACATTTATCCTGAGAAGTGCTCTATGAAATGGCTATTGGACTACATTAAAGAGGTTGCAAAATTTTGACCTGACAAAATGATCCAATTTGCTAATAATTTTTAAACCTAGATGCTTCTATATTTTTACACAAGAATTCAGATTTTTTTCTCTGCAGCGTTAGAACATTTCTCTCATTTACCTACTATTATCAACTTTCTTTCTCCTGCCATACCCAAAGGGGAATCCCCATGCTGGAGGGCACCTCCCAAGCCTCTGGATGCCTTTAACTCTTCATTTGGACTCCAGGGAACTTGGTGCCTTGCCCCAGGCTGAAAGATCCTCCCTGCCAACCCTGCAGATAAAATGGCAGAGAACATTGGCTAGGAGGGAAGAAAGAAAGTGAAGAGCTCAAACACAGTGGCTAACAGGCAACTGCACCTTGTTCTTCTCTGGAGGACATGTACATAGAAGACCATTAAGGACAGTGTATGCAGGTTAAATGGGCTTCAACCACTGAGCCTAACCTGCCATATCACTATGGAGTCAGGCAGAGGTTATCCCTGCATGGTAATGTGTGCTTGTTAGTAAGGAATCAGGGAAGAAATTAAGTCTGTAACCTGGAATCTGCCTAGCCATTTTACTATCTGGCTCTGTACACCTCTGAGTGCAATTAGCTCTCTCCTTTTTATGTCCCTGAAATCAGCTGAGGCATTGAGAAACAGCTCAGCCTCCAAATGCATGCCCATCATTTTAAACTCTTGTACATTTATATGCTCAGATGACATGTCTGTGTACACATCAAGCAGTAAAATGCCAAGGCAAAGACTTCTGAAAAGGCATGCTTCGGTTCCAAATGCAAATGCATGTCTTAGCTTTGCATACGTTGGTTGCAATCATACATACAAATCAGCAGGGTGTGGTGGAGAAAGTTTGGCACCTGATTATTGGAGTTCCACACACAAACTGAGGATTTTACATTCTGCTTTTAGAAGGATAATTGTTTTGAGACAATTTGAAAAATTGACTTCCTCACTAAAAACTAAGACTTTTTTTTAACACATAAGGAGCATAGTAAAAAAAAAAAAAAAAAGTCTTTATTAAAAAAAAAAATTGAGAGAAGTAAGATTTAAGAATTCATTGAGCAAAGCAGGATTTCTGTATGCTACAAGTGACTGGTATGTGAAAGAAAATGCCCAGGGATCCGCAAAAATTGCAAATAAATTATATATAAATTCAGGAAAATGAACTTTTTTGAAAAAGAATGATACCAAGAATAGTGATATTAGAAAAAGAAAAATGTTACGTGGCTAGGTATTTCCCAAGATTACTTGTGTATAATGGACTTGACTAACACATATATTGACTTGAAAGGTGGCAAAATTGGTGAATAGGATTTGAGTGTTTGGTTTGGTTTGGTTTTTTCCCATGCACATTTGAACACATTTCTTCTCTGCACCCTATGACAAAGAGACTTCAAAAGATCAAAAGTCAGCAGAAAAAAAAAATCATGGTTTTACTCTAACAGTGATATTCATCGAAATATGGAATGTATTCTTCCCTCATTAATATCTCTTCTGCATTGCTAAATCCAGACATCTCTTGTCTTGCACGGTTTATTCAGGATGGATTTTTCTCTAAACAGTTTGAGAACAGTGCTATTTTTCAAATAGTAGTAGTTCTGCTCATAGTTTTTATAGCCATGGCAGGACTGGGGATTACATGTTCCTGAACATGCTAGTACTGTTGCTGCCTAGTGCCTAATGTCAGTATATACTAGCTACTATACTAAACCTCAGTTCAAGATAACATTTTGACAATAGGCTGATACTCTTATAATAACTCCCTTGACCATACGGAATCAGACACGGGAGGAATGCTTTCTCTGTGTTTTCATCCACTTGGTCTTCATCCCTCCAAAGAGTAAAGAGTAGGATTGTACTACCTTATGCAGCATAACTAAGGAGCATGCATGCTGTACGACTGTACCATATTTGCTGCTATATGGCTTTTTACATACTTGTGACACCTTATTTTCTTTCATCCTGGTTAGGATGTTTGAATTAGAATTAAATGAATGAGATGTGAAGTTCATATATTTCAGCAAGTTGCTTAAGTTCATTCCAGACAAAAAAAAAACCAAAAACGTTTTCAAAATATTCTTTGGGACAAGGACTAACTTTTGTTCATTAATTTATGGCTTAAATAATAACAAGAGGTTAAGTCTGGGTAGAATTGATTTTTTTTGTGAGACCAGTGAAGCTAGAAATTCATTTTATGACAGGAGCTAGTAAAAACAGTATTGAACCGTTTACTTGGTTATTAGCACTAAAAAACCAAGTCTACCTTCTTCTGCAATACATTAACTGAATTCATCTACTGAATTCATATAGGAAAATTTATCCAGCATGTGTCTAGGACAGTATATAAAAGTGCATAAGTTATTTTTAGGATGCCATGGTCTGTTTCCACCCTGCAATAGGATATGAAAAATGCTAGAAGACAAACTTTATTTTCCAGAAGCTGGCATAAACAAGAAGTGAATGGGACCCATAAGCATAGTTCAGAGTAGTATTCTCAGCTTACAGGAAGGGTGGGAAAGTGGTGGGAAAACTAGTGGGGGTCTTTTCCTGTAACCTGTAACGTTCATACAATTTGTTGCCTAGTAGTTTCAAGTCACTGTGGAAACCTTCCCTTTTTTTTTCTTTTCCCACTTTCTCTTTTATTAAATAATAATAATAAATAAATGAAAAGTTCTTGCTTGTCAAATGAAGCAGAAGAAAGCTCTTCCTTTATTTTTGTCCTGTACAGAGCAGTCTAAATATACCACCTACTCAAACTTTGTGCTAGAGTTCTGATTTTGCAAATAATGGGAGAGTTTGGCTATTCTCCACCCCATAGGCACACTCTCCGTAGTGAATTCCTAAGTAAAGCTAAATTAGATATGTATGTTACTTTTACACAGATTTAGGAACACATCTATCTTAGGTGATCTTTTCAGAAAAAAAAATTGTCTTGTACAGTTTTTGAAAAGGAATTGGGCTTTTATATTTCTTAGAAGTATTTGAAAATTTTATCGTGGTTCATACTGTGACTCTGTTCTCCATCTGTAGAGTAGGAACAATTCCTTCCTGTGGTTTCATTTGTAATTTATATTCTGCTATCAATGCTCTGTTAGTAAGGACTCAGATAATTTGCATAGCTACATTTCACAGTGGTGAGGGTGTTTGGAAGAAAAGTGTAGTTTTTCTGAATATCTTGGAATTTTAAAAAATGTGTTGGATTTGTCTCTGCAGTAGCAACCTTAGAATTGAAGAAAAGTTTATGGAAGTGAAT